GACACGAATATTCTTTAATGTCTCTCTCTCTCTCTCTGTTTCGATGAAACGTTGCTTCGAGAATTCGAGGTTGTGTTGATCGAAGAAAAAAGTGTGATTCTGAGAATTTATTTTTGTTTGGATGATTAAATGGCTGATAGAAGAATTTTTTTATTGCTTATTTCGATATTTGTATGTAACAAGAGTAACGTGAGTTTGTTGTTTATGATTATTATATTGGCAAAAGATAAATTAAATTTCTTCTTATATTATCCAATATTCGTTATTAAATGAAACAATATATATTAAAAGGAACAATAGTAAACTATAATATAAGGATAGAAAGATAAATAACATAACGAAGCAAGGATCATACGTGGTCAGACTTGATTCGAAATCGATATTAAGGTTTATTTTCTTGGAGGAGTTTGATTCGTTGATATTTCGAGGAAAAATAATATCGTAATTATCGTAATTTAAAATAAGAAAAAGAAACAATATCGACAGATTAACGAAAATTTACAATTTTTAAACATCGTATTAATAATTTTTTGCTCGTACGAAGAAACGAAGAGTATATTAACAAATGGCGCCCATTGAAAGATTATCGTGTATTAATTAATTGTATTTCCATTGTATTAATATACATCACAAGAGTACTTCACGCGGCATACCTTTACAGTACCCAGTATCCCAAATAAATTTTCATCAAAGCTATTATTTCTCTTAGTTATTACCAACAATTCCGACCGCTGTTATCGTATTTCGATTACATTGATAACTATATCGAGAATTGTTCTTCGTTATTGACGTTAAAATTACACGTATAATAATACTTTTATGAATTTTCCCACATTGTTAAATCATACATTATCGTACAAGTTTAATTTAAGGTAATAATGTATTGATAACATAATGTTCAATTATTAATCGTTAAACGATAATCGAATATTTTCAATTATTATATTTCAGATTACGTTTTAATAAGAAAAAAAATCTATCCAAACTATATCTCGAATTGTTGAAATAATATTCGAGCATTTCCATTTGTATCTCGCGCAAGGAAACATGGGTGAATGAATGCGTACTGGGAAATGACTGTGCGAACTCTACAACAGGAATATCTTGCACGTTCCATACAACTGACGTCGACTTACGTCGACACAAGCGCAGCCAACTTCACCTGTTTGCACCCTGCAACATTTTCGAGAAAGCCAACGAACCCTTACCTTACCTTGGATTAAACATTCAAAGACATATTCGTACACCATCTCGATTTGCCTTTCGTTTCGAAAGTTCTGCGACTATAAGGTGAATGCAACTTTGTATTTGAAAGTTTGCCTTTGAATTGTTTCACGTGGTATTAATGACGGTTTAGCATTCTGTCTTCTTCCTTAATTAAAAGTATTAGGAATTTCTGAAAATCGTAAATATCAATTGGCAAGTAAGTAAAATTAATAATAATCGATCCGTGAAATCAAATCAATCACGATATAAATGCGGAATCGAGTGAATTTCGAGAAATTTTATAATTCGAATAACGTTCTCGCGAATGTCTGAAATTTCATGGATTAATATGAAACTGTACGAACAACAATGTATTGATTCGATAGGAATCCAATCGGCGATTGTGTAAACGCAATCAGTGAATTCCTGTCCTTTCGGTGTGCATTGCTATTTTCGCGTTAGCAACGATGGAAACGTGTCCAGAACAGAATGACCCTCGTTTCCGCTGGATATTGTCTTATAGATCGTGTTTGGTGGACTATCAGATATCAACTATATTATCAAATGAACGCGATAGAGACGTAATCTTTCCCGTTCTTCTTTAAATTTTTTAAAAGCGTTTTTATATTCGTTGTCTTTGATATTGATTTTTTACATATTACAGATTATAATTTAATTGAAAAACTAGAATATTATATTCGATAATATTTTTTTTTTGTTTTTTAAAATTTTTATATAATATAGAATCAATTTTATACGGAAATAAATACGTTTATCATTAAATTAGTTAAAGCACTAGCAGTGTTAAACGTGAAAATATTAAACGTGGAACAGATTTGGATATTTTTCGTGGGGAATGAGAAAAATAAATAGAATGATAAATATAATTTACTTGAAATTAAAAATTATTTGTAAAATATTATTAAGATTCTCGTATATATGCGATTATTTTGAAAATAAAGATTTTATTGAATCAAGTAAAATTTTTTTTTTACATTCTTCTAAACAAATTAAATATTGAATACTATTTTATTATTAATAAAAGAATATCACGTTACGTATCATTTTATACCTGCACGATTACATCTGATTGAATCTCTCTCTCATTTAACTTAAACAAACATCGATTTCTCGCTACAAAAATCTCGCTACACAACTGAAAAAAATAAACCACGTTTTCCAACTACGGAACAAAAATCACGGGAGAAAAGAAACGGAAAACGGCGATGAATAAAAGAGGTGGCGGGATAAAAATGCGTGTGTTTCAATATGTACAATTTATTATCGTCTCCCTCATACGTATTTCCGTGCAAATATAGAACAATATTGCACCGTGCAGACTTTTTTCCCCCCTCCCCTCCCCGGTGAAAATCGTTCCCTACCGGAAGTAGCGAAGTGATGAACACGACCCGTGCAAACACCGAGACTCCCAATATCAAGCACCATGTAATATTTGTCTTTAATTATAAATATTGCCGTATCACGTCGAGATGAAACGAATCCGGCCAATAAAATCGTAGAGAAATTGTTTAAATAACGATATAAACAAAAATATTTGACGAACGAAATATAATAGCCCCTAGCTTCATCTAGCTTCGACGTCTTGTTTTAAATTTTAAATCACATTATCCCATAGATTTATCCGTCTCAATTTCAAGCTTAATCTCAAGCAAAATATCGTCACGTTTTATTATTCTTACAACTCTTCCTTGTATTATTCTATTGTAATCTCGAGATTCTTCAAATCTTTCTTCTAGAATTTCTCCAAGACGTCGTCCTTGGTTAAGATTTATAGGGACGCATAATTTTGGGGAGGATTCGGGGCATTCTTCATGATCCCGTTGGTTGGACGAATGCACGAACGCGGAATATTTATCAACGTGGTTGACGGGATAGTATTGAATTTTTATTTCGAATAATAATCGTTCCGCGTGGCCGGTCGTACGTGAAAATCGGAATGGCGTGGAAATATTTGTTTTCGATGCGTTCGAATTCGCGCGGCCAACGGGAATTCTCATCGTTTTCGAAATGGGTAAAGGGATGTAAGAGACGAGATTTTCTCGCTCGTGTTTGCGCTGCATTCCATGATAAGGTTAATATTTGAAATGGACTTTCAAATTCGATCGTTCGACTTTATTTTAACATAATTTTATTGCCGCCTGTTAAATTTCACGCGAGTTGGGGGGTATTTTAAGATGGCGATATTGATAGGGGGTGAAAGAAGAAATTTACAAGGAAGTGAGTGAAATGATGGATAGAATAATATTACGAGGCGTTATAAAGGGAATAAGCGATGAACATCTTTTGAAAATCATTAATATTGGAAATTACAAATTGTAAAGCTTAAATCGGTACAATTAAAATATTGGAAAGGAAGAAATTGAACATTAATATAGTACATAATAAATAAATAAATCATATTTTTGTTATTGATTATACGAGAGAATTATTAATTTCGTATTATTCATTTTAATTTTTTCTTTTATCTTATACATTATACGAGACAATGAATCGATAAATTAATTTCAATTATTAATTTATTCGGAGAATCGCGCATATATGTGTACCAAACATTAAATTCGTAATTGCGTAAAATATCTCACACTTGTACCACCAGTAATATATCTTTAAATTTATCATTATCATGGAAAATTTAAAAAATGAAAATTCTAATCTAAAAATGAAATTTAAGAGGAAAGTATAGTCGAAACTTAGACGATTATTTTCTACGAAGATAAAAACAAATTTGTGCTCCATAAATTCGTCTCTTTCTGTCTCTCTCTCGTTAATTAATTCGAGTTTTCGAGATATCGTTGTCTAGCGCTGGGATAAGAGACGAATGCCTCGCGGAGAGCGCGGTTTCAAGCGATCGTTTAACATGAACGAGACTTTAAAATCGTCTAATAGAACACTGTTAACGAGGGGAAACGTGAAACGATGCGAAACACGAGAGAACGGAAAGAAGCACCCTAACTCCAACCCCCTCCCCTACTCGTTGGAATGACGTTTGAGTAATTAAAATGCAGTCGTGCCCTCGCGAAAATTCTGGTTTTATGCGATGAAAAGTGGCAAAGACACGCGATTTTCAAAGGTTTAAGTTGGCCTCCGATAGAAGCTCCTCTCCTTGATAAAAAAAAAAAGTGGCTAATGAAGAAAGTGCACATTCGAAGTGTACACGAATCAGTAAATATTTTAAAAATACTTTAAAAATCAAGTTTCATTAAATATTCTTAATTAACATTTCATTTAGAAAATTTAATTCTAATAAAACAGAAGAAAAGCTGTTACAAAAATCTTTCTTATCGATGATCACGCTATAAAAACTTCAAAGTAAAATTCTCCAATTTCAATTTCACAGGAATAAT